CCTCCATAGCCACCACGCGACCCTCCATATGCCCCGCGAGGTGCGCCGTAGTTCCCTCGCGCGCCCATCGGAAAGCCATCGTAATCGTCATCGTCATTACCACCAAAAGAGTCTTCAAAGTCCTTCAGTGCCGCAGCAGCTTCGGCGTGTTCGCGTCGTCTCTTCTCCTCTTGCGCCAGTCGTTCCTTCTCAAATGCCGAGAGCTTTTTCGGCGCACAAAGCTTGTCTTTGACATCGGGAAACTCTTTGGGATTCTCCTCCTCCGCCATAGTCACAGATTGCTGGGATTATTATGTCATTACTCATTGCATGTGGTGTGCAGCTCTCAAGGTCACTTGGGGAAGTCCTCCGCAATAAGGTTGCTGCTAGCGCGTCTTCGGCGTTCGGCAGCCAAATGTCGGCCCGCGCGCAAGCTGCACCTGACCTGACCTTGAACTGCTGAAGCTTCAATCGTGCTCCGACTTGTGCCCTTCTGATATCGCCCTCACCCTCACTTCGACGCCTCACAGTCGCTCGAGGGACTGTACAGATCGATACTACACCCGACGAATGGAAGACCATAGCAAATGCGACAACCACCCCACCCCACCAAGTGAAGCCTGAATTGGCCTCCAATACCACCACTCGCCTTCGACCGGCCGCCAACTACTCTATGCGCCACCCATAGCGACGACAATTCTTGTACGCGAAGCCTGCTCCAGGCTTCGCTGCATCCTCCCATCGCCATGGCGAGCGCGTACAGCGAAGCGCTCAACGCCATATTTCAAGAGCTCAAATCGCGCAATGAACATACCCGCCAGAATGCCGCTGCACGCCTGCTCGACCAGGTCAACGCCGCCTTCAGGGAACTGCCGCCGGCATCCTGGACGCAGTACTATACTGAAGTCAACGCCAAGATGGTGCAGTTCATCCTCAGCGGGCAGGACACACACGAGCGCATGGGGGGACTGTACGCATTGAATGCTTTGATTGATTTCAAGGGTGACGATGCCGCGCAGAAGGTCACCAAGTTCAGCAATTACATTAAGAGAACATTGGAAGGCAACGATACCAGTGCCATGATCGTCGCAGCTAAGTGCTTGGGACGCTTGGCGACACCTGGTGGCGCCTTGACTGCCGAACTGGTGGAAGCTGAAGTGAAGCACGCGCTGGAGTGGTTGACCTCGGAACGTAATGAGAACCGACGCTTTGCTGCAGTTCTTATCCTGCGCGAGTTGGCTCGGAACAGCTCAACCTTGCTGTACATGTACATTCCGGGCATCCTGGTGAGCATTTGGGAGGGATTGCGCGACCAAAAAGTGGTGATAAGAGAAACCGCTGCAGAGGTTGTGTCCCAGTGTTGCAAGATATTATCCGCACGCGATCCACAACAGCGGCAAACTTGCCTCGCTCGACTGTTCGAGGGTGCTCAGGATGGCTTCCGTCGTGGCACGGTTGAGTGCGTGCATGGCTCACTCTTGGTCTACAAGGAACTGCTGGTGCAGGGCGGCATGTTCATGCACGGCAACAAGTACAAAGATGCATGCGAGCGCGTGCTTCTGCAGCAGTATCGCGAACACCGAGACCCAACCATCCGACGCACAGTAGTAGAGATCATTCCTCTACTCGCTGCCTACGCGCCGAAAGACTTCTGTCACAACTATCTTGCACGCTCAATGCAACATCTACAAAACCTCCTCAAAGACCCGAAGCAACGCAACATGGCATTTGTGGCTATAGGGAAGATCGCACATGCTGTGGGCTCGCAGATCGCTCCATATCTCGACACCATACTCTTACATATCCGGGATGCTCTTTCTGTGAAGAATCGAACGAAGCATTCCGACGAGGCACCGATCTTTGAATGTATCAGCATGATCTCCATTGCTGTCGGCCAAACTCTGAGCAAGTACATGGAGGCTCTGCTTGATCCCATCTTTGCTTGTGGTCTCTCGGACGCCTTGACCCAGGCTTTGGTTGACATGGCTCACTACATTCCTCCAGTCAAGACAACGATTCAAGAGAAGCTCCTCGACTTGCTCAGTCGAACGCTCTGCGGACAGCCTTTCCAGACGCTGGGTCATCCAACCCAAGGTAAAGGCCTCCCTCCCATCTACACCAAGGAGTACAGAGATCAGAAAGATCCGCAGCATCAAGAACACAAGGACCAAGAGATTGCACTGGCTCTTCACACGCTCGGGTCTTTTGACTTCAGCGGGCATGTGCTGAACGAATTTGTGCGCGATGTCGCTATCCGCTACGTGGAGGATGATGATGCTACCATTCGCAAGGCTGCTGCCCTGACCTGCTGCCAATTGTTTGTCAAGGATCCCATTGTCCATCAGACCAGCCACCATGCCATTCAGGTCGTATCGGACGTTATCGAGAAACTGCTCACTGTTGGAGTCGCCGATCCACATCCCGACATCAGGCAGACCGTTTTGGTGTCGCTCGACGCACGTTTCGACCGCCACCTCTCGAATGCTGAAAATGTTCGCACACTCTTTCTAGCGCTCCATGATGAGAAATTCGCCATTCGTGAGGCAGCAATGACGATCATCGGTCGACTCACACAGGTCAATCCGGCCTATGTCTTCCCATCGCTACGCAAAGTCCTGATTCAACTGCTGACCGAAATCAACTACTCCAACAACCCGAACAACAAGCGGGAATCGGCGCAACTGATCAGCCATCTGGTCAATGCAAGTCAAAAGCTCATCAGGCCGTATGTGACGCCAATGGTCGATGTCCTTCTTCCCCGAGCTTCAGATCATCATGTCGAAGTCGCAGCCACCTCATTGCGTGCTCTTGGCGATCTCGCGGCTGTCGGCGGCGAAGACATGAAGCAGTGGATACCGAAGCTGATGCAAATCATCATTCTAAGCTTGCAAGACCTGGCTGCGCCCAAAAAGCGCGAAGCTGCATTGTGCACCCTGGGTCAACTCGCTAGCAACAGCGGATATGTCATCGATCCATATACCGAGCATCCGGAATTGCTCACTCTTCTCGTTAACATTATCAAGAATGAACCGCCGGGTGATCTTCGACGTGAGACAATCCGACTCATGGGCATACTTGGAGCTCTTGATCCCTACAAGCATCAGCAGGTGGTGGAGGAGTCCCCAGAATCTAATCTCAAGGCCGACTCTAGCGCCGAATCAGACGTGACGCTAATAATGAAGGGTATCACTCCGAGCACGGAAGACTACTACCCCACTGTGGTCATCAACACTCTCATGGCCATGCTCAAAGAAGACACACTCAAGCAATACCACTCAGGCGTTGTTGAAGCTGTCATGAATATCTATGCGACAATGGGCATGAAATGTGTGCCGTTTCTCGGCACCGTTGTTCCAGGCATCGTCGGCGTCTTGAAGGACGCCTCAAGCGAGGGGCGTCTGGAAGGATATTTCAGTCAACTTGGTCTGCTTGTGAAGATCGTCCGACAGCACATCCGCCCACATCTGCCTGTCATGATTGTTGCCATCGAAAATCATTGGTACAAGAGCACGCAGCTTCAGGCCACGATTCTGAGTCTTATCGAGAGCATAGCGCGAAGCCTTGAGGGAGAGTTCAAAATCTACCTAGCAGAAGTCTTGCCTCTCATGCTGGGCGTTCTGGATGCTGATGGTAGATCTGATGCTGGACGGTCTGCCCAGCAACGTGTGCTCCACGCCTTCTTGGTGTTCGGCGCTAGTGCCGAGGAATACATGCACCTCATCATTCCCGTCATCGTCCGCATGTTCGACATGAGCGATGGACGTTTCCGTGACCGCAATGTGCGGAAAGCAGCAATCGAGACGATTGGTCGTCTCAGCAAGCAGGTCAACATCGCGGAATTCGCTGCCAAAATCATACATCCACTTGCTCGCGTTCTCAACGGCAGTGACCAGATTCTCAAGCCCGCCGCCATGGAGACACTCTGCGCTCTGATTTTCCAGCTCGGTCAAGACTTCTTACATTTTGTGCCAACCATCGACAAGATCCTGACTGCTCAGCGCATCAACTACACTGCGTACAACTTGATTGTAAACAAGCTTAAGAAGCACGAGGCTCTACCCCAGGATCTGAGTCCCGACGAGAGATACAACGACGAGGATGAGGATCAGTATCCCACCGAGATTGCTACCAAGAAGCTCGCCGTGAATCAGCAGCACCTGAAGAACGCATGGGAGGCCAATCAGAAGTCGACCAAGGAAGACTGGCAAGAATGGATGCGACGCTTCTCAGTGGAGCTCCTCAGAGAAAGCCCGCAACAAGCACTTAGAGCCTGCACGAATCTTGCTAGTATCTACCCACCACTGGCACGATCACTCTTCAACAGTGCTTTTGTCAGCTGTTGGACTGAGCTCTATGATCAATATCAAGAAGAGCTTGTTCGATCTATCGAGACTGCTCTCACGAGTCCTAATATCCCTCCTGAGATCCTTCAGGTCTTGTTGAATCTGGCGGAATTCATGGAACATGATGACAAAGCTCTGCCAATCGATGTCCGAACACTCGGAATGTACGCCGGCAAGTGCCACGCCTACGCGAAAGCTTTGCACTACAAAGAGCTCGAATTCAATGCTGAACAGAATGCAAGTGCAGTAGAAGCTCTCATTTCGATCAACAACCAGCTTCAACAGACGGATGCAGCCTTTGGCATACTTAGAAAGGCACAAGGCTACACTGATGTTGATCTGAAGGAGACTTGGTTTGAGAAACTTCAGCGCTGGGAGGACGCCTTGATGGCTTACCAAAACCGCGAGGAGATGGAAGGTGGTGCACAGAATGCATCTTTCGAAGTCGTGATGGGCAAGATGCGATGTCTGCACGCCTTAGGCGAGTGGGACACACTGTCTTCCATCGCGCAAGAGAGGTGGCACAGCTCGAACAGCGAAAACAGGCGCCACATTGCTCCTCTGGCAGCAGCTGCTGCTTGGGGGATGGGTCAATGGGACGTTATGGATGAATATTTGACAGCCATGAAGCAGCATACACCAGATCGCAGCTTCTTCGGTGCTATTCTTGCAATTCATCGCAACCACTTCGAGGAAGCGCACGCACACATCACCAAAGCGCGGGATGGACTTGATACAGAACTCTCGGCGCTGCTCGGCGAAAGCTATACTCGGGCGTACGGCGTCATTGTTCGCGTGCAGATGCTGGCCGAACTTGAAGAGATCATTTCGTACAAGCAAGCATTTAATGATCTGTCCAAGCAAGATCGTATGCGACAGACGTGGACAAAACGCTTGAGAGGTTGTCAACGCCAGGTTGACGTGTGGCAGCGAATGCTCAAAGTGCGCGCACTCGTCATCACGCCTCAAGAGAACCAGGAGATGTATATCAAATTTGCCTCGATCTGCCGCAAGGCTGGCAGGAATGGGCTGGCAGAGAAGAGTCTGAACAGTCTGCTCGACATTGGTACAGGTACTGGAACCTTGACCACCGATCCAGCTAGCTGGGAGAAAGTCCAACAAGCGCCATATGCCGTGCAATACGCCACGTTCAAGTTTCTCTGGTCAACGGATCATCATGAACTCGCCCTCAACTCTCTGCGTGGTTTTACGCGAACTCTCAGAGAGGACTACGAGAACAGCCAAGCTGCTACGCTGTCCATGAACGGGCTGAATGTAAACGGCGTCAATGGCGTTCATGCTCCTGTTCGTGCTGGACTTCTCACTGCCACGAATGGAGTCAACGCACTGAATGGCGTCCACAGCAATGGTCCGTTTGGTGCAGCCAATGCTCATCAGATGTCAGCGAGGGAGAAGGCAGAGCTCGAGGAGTGGCGGATGCTCCTAGCACGCTGCTACCTCAAGCAGGGTGACTGGCAGGTCAAATTGCACAACGGCGATTGGCAGTCAGAGCATGTTGCTGACGTCCTTGCCTCTTACCGCGCAGCCACTCGATATCATGAGAATTGGTACAAGGCATGGCACGCATGGGCATTGGCCAATTTTGAAGTCGTCACCTCTCTGACTTCTGGCGATCGCGAGAACGCTGATACCCCATCGTATCTGGTTTCAGAACATGTCGTGCCAGCGATCAAGGGCTTTTTCAAGGGCATTGCACTTCAGTCGACGAGCTCTCTGCAGGATACACTTCGCCTGCTTACCCTGTGGTTCGCGCATGGCAATCACCAGGAAGTCACTCATGCTGTCACTCAAGGCATCAGCACCGTCAGCGTTGACACCTGGCTCGAGGTCATTCCGCAGCTCATTGCCAGAATCAACCAGCCAAACAGACTCGTCCGTGAGGGTATCCACAATCTTCTGGTCGACATAGGCCGTGCACATCCGCAAGCCTTGGTCTACCCTCTCACAGTCTCCATGAAGAGCGACACGGGCAACCGCTCCCGGTCAGCGGCTCGCATCATGGAGGCCATGAGACAACACTCACCCAAGCTTGTCGAGCAAGCCGCCCTTGTCAGCCACGAGCTCATCCGTATTGCGGTGCTCTGGCACGAGCAGTGGCACGAGGGCTTGGAAGAAGCTAGTCGATTGTTCTTCGGCGACCACAACATAGCAGGTATGCTGGCCACGCTGGAGCCTCTCCACGAAATGCTTCGAAAGGGACCCGAGACACTAAGGGAGATCTCGTTCATTCAATCTTTTGGACGTGACCTTAATGAGGCCCGTGATTGGTGTCAGGCATGGAACTCGTCTAGAGAGATTGGAGATCTCAACCAAGCCTGGGATCTCTACTATGGCGTTTTCAAGAGGATTGCTAGACAACTGCCACAGCTGATGAGTCTGGAACTGCAGTATGTCTCACCAGAACTCAAAAATGCGCATGACCTCGATCTTGCCATCCCTGGGACATACCAAGTCGGCAAGCCGGTCATCAAGATTGCTAGCTTTGATCCGGTGGCGACGGTCATATCCTCCAAGCAGCGGCCGCGCAAGTTGACTATGAGAGGCAGCGATGGCCAGAAGCACGATTTCCTTATCAAGGGTCATGAAGATATTCGACAGGATGAGCGCGTCATGCAGCTATTTGGCCTCGCCAACACGCTCCTCGCAGCAGATCCAGAATGTCTCAAGCGTCATCTGAACATTCAACGCTACGCAGCCATTCCATTATCGACACAAGCTGGTCTCATTGGGTGGGTGCCCAACTCCGACACCCTGCATGTCCTTATTCGCGAGTACCGCGAGAGCCGCAAGATCCTGCTCAACATTGAGCATCGCATAATGCTGCAGATGGCACCCGATTATGACAACTTGACGCTGATGCAGAAAGTCGAAGTGTTCGGCTACGCCCTGGACAATACCACTGGCCAGGATCTGTACCGAGTGCTGTGGCTGAAGAGCAAGTCCTCGGAAGCCTGGCTCGACCGACGCACAAACTATACTCGGTCGCTCGCTGTCATGTCCATGGTCGGCTACATCTTAGGTCTCGGCGATCGCCATCCCAGCAATCTCTTGCTGGATCGCGTCACTGGCAAGATCGTCCACATCGATTTCGGTGACTGCTTCGAAGTCGCCATGCACCGCGAAAAATACCCCGAGCGTGTTCCATTCCGTCTCACCCGTATGCTCACGTTTGCCATGGAAGTCAGCAACATCGAAGGCTCCTTCAGAACTACGTGTGAACATGTCATGCGCCTGCTACGTGGTAACAAGGAATCCCTCATGGCTGTCCTGGAAGCTTTCATCCACGACCCTCTCCTAACCTGGCGTCTCGGAACCCGCGAGTCTCCTCCCGAACCATCCTTCCCATCCGAACGTCGCCAATCAATCATGCAGGACCCCAACGCCGCCGGCGGTCATCCTCCTACCGCCGCCGCCACCACCGCTCGTCGACCTTCCGTCATGGGCGGCGATCCCAACGCTCCCAACCAACCCGGCGCTCCCGGCAACAACTCTTACCGTCCCCGTGGCAGACTCAGTAGCATCGCCCCCGGCATGAACGTTCAGCCCGATGCTATCGAGAAGGAAGTCCAAAATGCTAGGGCTCTGCAGGTTTTGGCTCGTGTGAAGGAGAAGTTGACAGGGAGGGATTTTAAGAAGGAACAGGAATTGAAGGTTGAGGAACAGGTTGAGAGGTTGTTGGCTGAGGCGACGAATCTTGAGAATTTGTGTCAGCATTATGTTGGGTGGTGTTCTTTCTGGTGAATGCAAAAAGCAGAGGAGAAAGTGGGAGGATGAGAATGTTTTGATTTTGATGTTTTGAGCGTGTGGCGTTGGTGGGCATCAGGTCAGATCATGACGATCAGCGAGGCTTTTTCTGTGGAACCTGGGATGATGATGATAACGGTACTTGCTATGAGGTTTACACGATGCATAAGTAATTAAGCAAGTGAGCATAATGCAGCACAGCGTATGAGTAACGGCTTCTTGTCACTTCCGCTGAGAGAGACTCTTACTGCCAGAGGTCTCCCCGCCGCCCAAAAATCTTGGATCAGAGATAATACTCCACGCACACCAGTTCAATAGCGATGCCCGCCCTCCCCGAAACACATCAGCACATCAACGCCACACGAAGCACTTCTGTCGCGGTTCCCTTCACTGACACTCCAAACTCCCATACATCTCCTTCCTCTCCGCCTCCTTCACCATACTCAGCACCATTTCCCAACCATCCTCATCGTCTTCATCAACAGTAATCAGAGCTTCCCCATCGACAGCAAACCGTAAATCTATGGCGACAAGCGGTTGCTTTTGTCCTTCGATCTGACGTTTCAGATTTTTGCGGAGACGGTTGAAGACGTTTTGGACCGTCATTGAGTCGTCGAGGTAGACGACCTTGGAAGCGGCGGAGTCGCGGATTTTGGATTTGAACCAGATTGGGAAGCGGAGGGTGAAGGGTGGGGGCTCCATGGTTGAGGAAGAGCGAGGGAAGGGTTTGATTTCGGTGAGGGAGGGTTGGGGGGATTGTGAGGGTGGTGGGGCGGGACCGGGTGTAGGTGGTCGCTCGCTAGTAGCGGTGTTATTGGTGCCGGGTTCGATGGTGGCTGCTGGTTGTGGTTCTGCTTCATGCTCAGTTTCAGCGGGTAAGGTCGGAGCGGTATGCTGCGTAGATGGTGCAAAAGCGGTCGCTTGAGTGGTGGCTGTTGCATCATGTGTACTTGCTTCTGGGTCTGGGTTCGTGGCCTCAGGGCGCTCGGCGTTGATGTATGGAGGTCTTGTGTATCTTCCAAAGAACGATGTAGCAGATGCCGATGCAGGAGCCTGAGTCTTGTTCTGAGGTGCTGGAGTAGTGTCATAAAGACTGTCGTAAGACGGCTGGCGTCCACGAGTCGGAGTTGATCGAGGCACAACATGTGGTGATTCGGTCGATTGAACAGCCGCCCTAGGAATAGCAGGTCCGCCATGTTTATTAATTGCGTTGAAAGCGGTCTTCCTTGCTATCATCGATCTGCTTTTGCTGCTTCTGGTTGTTCTCTTGGGGGGATTTGTCGACTTCGCTTCAGGTTGAGGACTATCTTGTCGTTTACGCTTCCCTTTATCTGGGCCGTGCTGAATGATATCGCTTTGCAGCAGCGGTGTGGTCGCATTCTCCGAGACAGGCGTCAAGAACCAATTCGTTGTGTAGCCGCCGTTCAGCTTCCAGAATGACCATAGTGGCGTGTCAGACTTGAGCCTCCTCCATTCTCGCTCCGGCAACTCTTTGAGGCACGCGTAGACATCTCTGCCCTTCAATGAGCATTTGAAAGTCCAGATCTAGCACATATTAGTAAGGACGTAATGGTGAGGAGTGAGCAACACTTGCGTTCTTGATCATTTGCGCATCGTCATCTTTCCATTCAAGCTCTGATAGCTCAACCTTCAGTCTCTCGCAAGGCTGTCGCCCAGCTGCGCAGCAAGCAGCGCATTGTAGATAGCATGCCACAACGCCTGGTAATGCATCAAAAGCGTGTGGTTCCGCCCCGAAACATTCTGAGCCGCCCGTTGTGCTCTCAAAGTAGTTTTTCTCGACTTCATTCCAGGTTGGTCCATTTATTGACACTTTTGCTTGATCGTAGTCACCAAGCCAGACGCTCTGAGATAGCAGAGAGGCATTAAGATGATCTTCTCGGTTCACGCTGAAGCATTCCCAATTCGCAGGAGAGTCGCTGTGGGCGGTCCGGGTGTTTGTGGACGCTGGATTCGAGGTGTATGTCGGGTCGAACAGATTGTCGCTTGTCGCTCTAGATGTCCTAATGTGGTCCTTGCGCCATCGTAGGATCTTCTCAACGACGAACGTGAGGAAGGTTTCCTTGATACTTTGGAAGTCAGCAATGCTTCGACGCTGGTCCCGACAAAAGAGGTGGTCATCATAGGCAAAGGTGCAAGCCGTGCAGTCCACCTAGTGCGGTCGGGACTGCGTGGAACAGTTCGCCAAAGCGTTCAGAGTGTCGCGGGAGATTCACTTACAACTTTTGATCAGCCAGATCGTGCCAGTACAGGTCTCTCGCGTAAGGGGACGAGGTCGCTCCTTCTCCAGGATTCAGCAACCAAGGGCGTTGGTTGTCTGCGCTCCAAATGGCAGGACCGTGCTCTTTGAGAAGATTCGCTTGGGCATCGCGGATCTCAGGACACCGAGGAATGTACTCCATTGCCTTGAGATAGTGCACTTTGCACAGCTCCGTGAGTTTGTCCCATAATTGCGCGACGGTTGGATTTGCTTTGAAGTCGGTCCCCTTCTTGCTGTAAAAAGCGCGCAGGCCAAGCTGAGAGGTCAGATCTGACAATACGGCCCTTTTGGAAGGCATATCGAACGCGTCTTGACGTGGAGACGCCAACTGTGAGGCGGAATGTTGTAGCTTGAGGTCGAGTGCAGGGCGACAAGGAGCGTGAGAAGGAGGGGCCCGGCCTTGAAGGACGGTCCCCGGAAATTTGACAGGTAGAACTAGGCAAGTGCGCCCAGCCAAAACCTAAAATCTGAGTAGGTGCGAACCCTCGTCCTCACTCTGATCTGCTTGAACTGACGCATTATTCGAGACTCGGCGGCTGTCTGCAGCGTAGAGCACGCAACGTTGGCCAGGTTGCAAAGGTGTTTGCGAAGCTCGCTCTTACGAGGCTGGTCGGAGCGGCGTAGGCGGCAACACTGCACAGTGCCGCCTGACTTCAGTCGACGGCTTGGGCGCTTAGCTCTTGTTGCTTCGATTGCCCGTCATATATAGCTGCGGCGCCTAGATTCCTTGCTGCTCATTTGGCTCTACACTTCGACTCCGGCCCCAATTCACCGGCTTCCGCTTTACGAAGGCCCCTACTGCGCCGAGATAGCCTTCATGTCGCAGGAAGAAGGCTTGCTTCGTTCCTTTGCTCCAGAATTTGATGGCGAATGACAACGTGTGTATAGTCTGCTGGTGACCTCGAATAAATGATCCCCCGAAGTATATCCGCTTCAAGTCGTGTCTCTCGGATTGCAAGAAAGAGATCTGGCCGATGTTGTTGCTACGCGCGTGTCAGTCCTGCATAATCATTACTACATTGACAACCTCTCACCTGATGGCGTAAAGCAAGCTACGCGAGATGTCTTCAGGCTTGAACATTCTGCCATCTCCAACCAGGCCGCTGCCTGCTGCTTCATCCATGTCCATGGTGTGAGCCGTGAACTTGGTGTGTTCGCCATTGCTGATGCCGTTGCCGTCCTCAGCCAACCGTTCGGCTTCTCGTTTGCGCTTTAAGACTTTGCCGAAACTACTCGCAATGGTCCTTTCGCTTAGGCCAATCTTCTCGTAACCCATGCCCTCACCATAGATGTCGCCGACAAGCAAGTCCACGGAGCTGTTGTCGCCTTTATCCGCCATATCCAGCATGTCATCAAAATTTCGAGCTCCAGTCAGCAATGAAAGTAGACCCCACAATGTACCGCCTCCCAATGATGTACCGCCAATGCGCTGAAATTCTGAAGGACCGGACACCTTGATCATAGAAACGCCACTGCCAATGTTGACCAACAGATAAGGATACACGTCTTCTTTAGGCTCTTGAAACGTCATTGGGTTCTCCGGAACACTGTCGTTGTATGTGAAAACCTCATTCGGTATTTGCGTTATGAAGAAATCCAAGCCTTTGATCAGGCACTCCATTTCGTCTTCTCGCTCGACTTCCACTCCGAGCCGTTCTCGAATCCGGTCATAGAATTTGAAAGCGCCTCCTCCCGTAGCCATAATACTGAGCTTCGTGGCCTGATCCGTACCGTTGATCCGCTGATGCTTAATCTGCAGGAGCCGCAGGTATTCAATGCAGTCATCGATTTTCTCAGTCTCAAAGGAAAGGAAATTGAGCCTGCCTCCCGATTCGCCGTTGCCATTCTCGCGCGTGAAATAGACGACCTTGGCGAGAGAGCCGCCAATGTCAGCTGCAACATGGCTCACAGTAGCCGTATGATTTGGTAATCTGATGTCACGCTTATGGTGCTGATAAGAATGTTCGTCGGCCTCTGAATGACTGCTGGTCGGCGATCGGTCTGGTGAATTGTCTTCATCTTCATGGTTGATGATATACGCTCCAGTAACGTTGATCTTGATTGAGCCGGGTTGAGCGATTGCTTGCTGCATATCGGCCGAGCTCGAAAGCCGCCGCTTCTTTGAATGAGGTCGCCTGAGGTCTGCCATGCTCGCGCAACTGATCTGACGAAGTCTCAGCCTGCTCAAAGTCTGTGTGCAAGGATAGCAGGTGTCGTGATTGCCAGAACGGGTAGCAAGCAAGCTCTCGCGGCTGAATGCAAAAGAGTCTAGTGACTCAAGTGAATGTTGAAAGTGGACAATATCAAGCTGAGAAGCTGAGACGAATTTCAGACTGAAACATGGACTTCGCCAACCTCGGGCACCGTTGAGCTGCCGGCCGACGGCATTATCTCGTGCAATGTTTCTGATTATGAATCGTCAATACGGACAAGAGGATCGCGATTGAGAAGTGGTTCGAGTGAGTGAACCCGCCGGCCGAGGCCCGAAGCTACTCTCTCAGCAAGAAGCGTTGGCCAGGGTCCAGCTCGAGCGCCGACAGGGATCGGATCCACGGAACGTGCCTCCCTTCCGCCGCTTCGCTCTTGTCGATGAACTCATTCGTTCTTCCGCCTTGATGCGACCAACACGATCACATCATTCTCAGCTCCGGCAGCATGGGTAATGATGGCGGAAGTATACCGACCCGTCGCGAGCTGGTAAAGGAGGCCGCGCGCGATCCGACGACCAGCGAAGTCAAGGCATCGCAACACGAGCAGCAAGAGTATTACTGGACCACAGACCCAATATCGAGAGAACCTTTAGCGCAACCCGTAGTATCAGACGCCAGTGGCAAGCTATACAACAAGTCTACGATACTGGAGTATCTGGTAGAAGGGGCGCGCAAGGAAGATGTCGACATCATTACCCAAGGCGCAATTAAAAGCTTAAAAGATGTGGTCGAGGTCAAATTTGAGGTCCATGCTGAGGGGAGCGAGAGAAAGAATGGCACAGCGAAGCGCGAAGTATGGAAGTGCCCAGTGACAGGCGACAAGCTCGGTCCAGGCTCCAAGGCAGCATATATCGTGCCTTGCGGACATGCCTTTTCGGGAAGCGCGATCAAGGAAGTCTCTGGCGAAAAGTGCCTTACTTGTGATTCTGAATATGCATCGAACGATATCATACCCATCCTGCCGGTCACGGAGACGGATATCGCGCGATTGTCGTTACGAGTCAAGACGCTGCACGAGAAGGGCTTGTCGCATTCGCTGAAGAAGGCGTCCGGCGGGAAGAAACGCAAGAAGAAGGATGAAGATCCCGACGGCAAGGCGAATGGCCTATCCAAAAAGGAGAGCTTGCCGGCTGCGAATGGAAAGTCGGAAGCAAAAGCTTCGAATGGCATCAACAACTCCTCTACAGCAACACTTACAGCAAAAGTCTTGCAAGAGCAGGAACAGGCGAAGAAGCGGAAACTTGAGAATGACAACGTGAAGAGCCTTTTCTCGTCCAAAGATCTGGGAAAAGACGCTGGCAAGAACCGCGACTTCATGACGAGAGGCTACAGTGTGAGATGAGGTCAACCTCATGGTGCCAGGAAGCCTCAATCCAACAATATGTCACAATCGGTCGGAATAGCAGGAATCTCGTTTCTGTTGTACCTCTACCAACACTACCACCCTGTACGATGATTCGGGGACGAAGCGCATGAATGTCGAAGCCATTTTCTCGCCATACGTACGCATTCCGCGCTTCGTGGCGAATTGCATGGGAGCATAAAGAAAGTGAGCTCATACATCACTTGATCGTAGAAGTCTAGGCCTCTCGCTGACTTGCATGCACAACCCGATCTCGAATGACATAACAACCTCCGTACAAACTGCCAAGTCCTAGTACTTCCTACGATCCCGAAACTCGACATCTCGTCATGGAGCCTACTCAGTCATAAGTCTTGGGGAGTTTGTACTATAGGTATCAGATCGTGGGACATTATCTGCAAGTAAGCGAAGGGATGGGGAAACCCGTTCAGGTGAAAGGGACCGGTTTCGCCAATGCAGATCGCACATACCGTCGTGAGGACGTGTTGCGCAATACTTGTATAGAACTGATCGATGAGGTAATAGAAATCTCGTGGTACTCGGTACTTTCTACATATTCTAATGTATTGCTCAGCTAGAGTTGGCACCTAGTAATCCTTAGCGGATGATGATATTACCTACCTACCTTACTATTTTGTGCCAAAGCCCTCAAGACTCTTCGAATCGATTCATAGTGTCATCTCTGGATTACCTATTTCTGTGTTGTCACGTTGATCGACGCTGCTACTCATTTCGTGCAAGTTGATGAACAGTACACATCTCTGAAAAGTAAATTCATTGCAGATGTACACGTCCATACTCACAGATATATATGTCCACGCGCGTGAACCGGGTATCGCATCGCAATCATTTGCTCTTTGCATCATTTCCATTTGCCAAACTCCAAACATTTTCAGATCCCTCATGCCTCCCTAAACGCCGTTTTATCATGCCGCTACCGCCGTGCTATCCAAAAAAAAATTGATCCATCTACAAACGAGCTCTCTCAAGACCAGTCCAGCCCCAAGTCTGAGCAACCATTTCCGCGCAACGCTCACCGATCGCGATGACAGTAAGCATGGGGTTGATAGATGGCATTTCTGGAAAGACACCAGCGTCTGCAATACGGATGTTCTGAAGACCGCGTACTTTCAACTCCGGGTCAACGACAGCCATGTGATTGGTCTTGACATCACCCATCTTGGTAGTACCGGCAGGGTGGTAGACGGTGTGGGCTACACGACGACCGTACTCGCTCAAGTCCTCATCAGATTGTACTTTTGGACCTGGGGCGATTTCGCGCTTGATCCAGTCTTTGAATGGTGACTGCTCGGCGATTTTGCGAGCGGCTTTTAAGCCCTCGACAATTGTGGCTGCGTCGTAGCCCTCTGGATCGGAGAAATAGCGGAAGTCAAGAGCAGGCTTCACGCTGGGGTCGCTGCTGGTAAGATAGAGCTTACCGCGAGATCGTGGACGAGGGATGTTTGGAGTTACACAGAAGGCTTCTGTTGGCACATCGTAACCAAGACGTTCAGTGTTGTAAACGAATGGGACTTGGTAGCAGTGAGCCATGATGTCGATGATGTCTCCGTCACTGCCAGCTGCGTTGGGCACTTCCCTTCGAAGGAAGATGGCTGCGTCGGAGTCCATAACGGTGGCATTGTGGTCGACGGGCTTGTTCAGCTCCCACATAATGATGGACTCGGGATGATCAAGCAAGTTTTCACCCACACCTGGAATGTCATGGTGAACTTGAATGCCGAGGTCTGAGAGATGTTGCTTTGGGCCCAGACCGGACAACATCATCAAACGAGGCGTGTCTACAGCACCGGCACTGAGGATAGTCTCGGCTTTGGCAGTGAGAGTATGCTTGGTACCATCTTGGAGAGTGATGTTCACGCCTGTGACACGCTTTCCAGACAGGTTAATCTTACTCACCCAAGCATTGGTCAAAATCGTCAAGTTCGGTCTGCACTCATCTCCACGCAGAATCGGGTGAATGTAGGCGACTGATGCGCTGCTTCGTCGACCGTCGTCTGGGTTGTAGGAGACGGACAAGAATCCAATGCCGGGGTGGAGAGCTCCGGTGGATCGGATTTCGTGGTTGTAGTCCTTGACAAGTGGAAGATCTAATGCCTTTGCGCCAGTCTCGACCCAGTCGCGAGTGAGCTGGTTCCGGTGCCTTTCATGCACTGGGGTGACATTGTTGCGAATGTTGTCCAAAATCCTCGTGAACGTCTTGAAATCCCAACCCTTGCAACCCTGCTTGACCCATCGCTTGCAGTCGTATTCAAAAGGCCGGAAGCTGATCAAAGTGTTGTGGCTCGAGCATCCACCCAAGACCTTGGCACGCGAGTGACGGATGTGAGAGTTTCCATGTGGCTGTTCGGTGGTGGGGTAGTCGTAGTCGAGTTCGCCGCCTAGGAGGTTCAGCCATTCCTTGAGAAGCAGCACGCGGTCGTCCATGAAATCCGAAGGTCCAGCCTCGATCAAGAGCACCTTCTTGTTGGGCAGGTACTCGGAGAGTCGCGAAGCGATTACGCAGCCTGCGGTCCCGCCACCCACAATGATAAAGTCATAGCTGTTCAGCTCCGCTGCCGGCAGCGCCGAGGTGGTACCACTGGAGTTGATAGACATGGCGATTCGTGTATCGTACGGCTAACGCGTTGCTGGAGTGGAGGCGAGGACGGGCTGAGTGAATGGAGATTGATGTAGGGGTGGGAGATGAGGGTAGAGGGAGGAGATGAAGGAAGAAGAAGAGGGCCAAGCTCGAAATAAAATCTTAACGGATGCAATGTGTATCTGCTCGGCCATCAGAGCCTTCTCCGCCAAGGCCGTGCCGAGCGTCTGCCCATGGAGCATGGTGACACGCGACAAGCCTCATCATCAGCTTCCATGTCCGAAGAAAAGAGGCTAGCGAGGCACAGATGGCGTATTCCTCTGCTGCAAACACGCAGTCCGCGCGCAGAAAAGTCTTCTCGCGGAGGAATGAGGTCGGCGAGCTCGAGGCTTGCCGCGTAGTGCATGTTCGGAGTGAGGATAGTAGTTTTGTTCGGTGCTCGTAATCTGTATGGTCTAAGAAGCGGGCATTCGTATAGTAGAAGGAAAGGGAAGGGAAAGAATTAGTCGATTGGTGGGAAAGTAGATGCGTAGGCGCTAATTTGCGGCTGACCATATGCACGGTCACGCACAGACTCGGCTATACGGACGTTGGTCAACTCCGCTTTTAGCGTGGTCAACCGCAGATTTCTCTGGGAGTACGCGAGACAGTGCAAACTCAATTTCGCTGCAGACGCCGCACCTCACTCTATGCCGACGCCTGCCCGCCCGATGATGCAGTCTGTCACCGGCATTGATCTGGTCACAGTCTTGGCCCGACCATCTTCAGAATCAGAATCATATCTCCCGCCGTACACAACTTCTCCGCTATCTACCACCTCCACCAGCTCGAGCATAGACCCTGCATAGATTTTTCCTAACGATAGACAGCTAGCATCGAGCCACGACACCTCACCACGAGCCGGCTGCATGCGACAAACTTTGCTGCGGTCCGCTTTGAAAGGCTGCATCTCAATACGTAAACTCATCCTGTACACCCGAACCCATCCACCATGGCTGGCATCAAGTACGACCAGCAGACTCTCTACTACGGAGGAAAGCGACAGACTACCAGTGAGACCTTCCAAACCATAGACCCTTCTACAGCGCAACCCATCGCAGACATCTGCAAAGCAGACAAGGCTGCGATTGATGCAGCTGTCAAGTCCGCCAAGAATGCATTCTCAAAATGGTCTGCCATGCCACCTATGGAGCGATCGAGAATACTACTGCGGGCAGTGGCACTTCTGAGACAGCGAAACGACGAACTGGCCACGATCGAGACTCATGATACCGGGAAAGCATTCTCGGAGACTAGTGTAGTCGATGTCGTGACTGGAGCCGATGTGCTGGAGTACTATGCGAATTTGATCGCTTCCGGAGGCCTGAATGGCGAGACAACCCAGCTCAGACCCGACGCCTGGCTATACACAACCAAAGCACCAATCGGAGTATGCGCAGGAATCGGAGCATGGAATTATCCCATTCAGATCGCATTGTGGAAGTCGGCACCGTGTCTCGCAGCAGGAAACTGCATGGTCTACAAACCTTCAGAATTCACGCCCCTCCACGCTCTCAAACTTGCAGAGATCTATACCGAAGCTGGCGTCCCAGCAGGTGTCTTCAACGTGGTCCAAGGCGCTGGCGACGTCGGCGCCATGCTGACTTCACACCCCGACATCCAGAAAGTCTCTTTCACCGGACAAGTCAGCACAGGCATGAAAGTCGCAAGCTCAGCAGCAGGCGCCATGAAATACGTAACAATGGAACTCGGCGGAAAATCACCCTGCATAATCCTCCCCGACGCCGACATAGAAGACGCCGTCAACGGCGCCATGATGGCCAACTTCTTCTCCACCGGCCAAGTCTGCACAAACGGAACCCGCGTCTTCATCCCCAAATCCCTACAACCCGACTTCGAACGTCTCCTCCTGCAAAAAATGCCCAACATCCGCCCGGGCCACCTCTTCAACCCAACCACAAATTTCGGTCCCCTCGTCAGCAAAGTCCATTACGAGAAAGTTCTCAAATACATAAAACACGGCATCGAAGTCGATAAAGCCAAACTCCTCTACGGCGGTCTCAGGAAACCAGAAGCTACCTCTTCCGAAGGCTACTGGGTAAAACCCACAGTTTTCACAAACTGCACCGACGACATGCTCATAACAATCGACGAAATCTTCGGTCCCGTCATGGCCATCTTACCATACGACGATAAAGAATCGAATTGGGTCGACAATCTCGTGAAAAGAGCGAACAGTACAAAAATGGGTCTTGCGGCGGGGATTTTCTCGAAAAATATCGATCACGCGCATAAAATTCTTGCGCGTGTGGAAGCGGGTATCACGTGGGTGAATACTTGGGGGGAGTCGCCGGCGGAGATGCCGGTCGGGGGTTGGAAGTTGAGTGGATTGGGGGTGGAGAATGGGAGGAGGGGACTTGAGAATTGGGTGCAGAATAAGAGTACGTTGGTGGAGATGGGTGGGAAGGTACCGACTGCTTTTCCAAAATTGTAAGCAGGAAAAATATTATGATCTAGCTGTATGTAGATCCACCGCTATTTCCAACTTGTACATACCACCAAAAAAAAAAAACTCACAACCACCACCCATCTACATCTCCTCCCTTCCCCTTCCCCTTCCCCTCCATAGCCCCCTCCAATTTCCACCTAACCTCATCATACGTTTCCTGACTCCCCATCATATACTCATAAACGCCCTCCACAACCTTCCTCCTCTCAAACCCCAACTCCATAAACCTCTGAATCTGCACCTCCTCCCTCTCCAAAATTCTCCGTAAAATCCCCACCGACAAAATTTTCCGATTCCCCATCCACCAACGCTCGTAACTCTCGACCTCGGTTTCGAAGTCTTTCCGAGAGCCGTAGACTTGCGAATACAAATTTTTGTAGCGGAATTCGGAGGTTTGGAGGGTGGAGTGGAGCCAGTGTAAAGCGGTGAGTTGGGGTTTGAGGTGGGAGAGGTGGTGGGTTGGGTTGAAGTTACAGAGTGCGGATAGCTGGTGAGGGCAGAGACGGTTGCGTTCGTGGGAGAGGGTCGTGAGATGGCGGTGGAGGTGACTGAGGTCGGATATCATTTCTTGAATGCTGAGTTTCGACTCTGTGGTTAGAAAGACCGCGATTTGGAGATTCTGTTCTTGGGTTTTGAAGAATTGGTGGTATTGTTGGAGGATGTTGTAGGAGAGGCTTGATTGCGATCCGTAGGGGATTGTGTGGAGGGCGATTTGGAGAGCTGCGATGCCAAAGCCTGTGCCGTTGTTGAGGATTGTGAGGGTATGGTTGAAAGTTTCGGCGAGGTCTGCGATGCCGTGTTCTTCGTATAATACCACTTCGTGTCGATAGGCGGCGTCTTGGTCTGTGAGAGCGTCGATGAGTTTTTGCGTATGACTTGTCGTGTGAGCGAGCTTGAGGAAGGTTTTGTCGCCTTTCATATCCACTGCGTCCTTATGCTGCTTGAAATCTTCGAATGCCGCTGTAAGATTTTGGGAGACAGTGTGCATGGCCAGACCAATGAAGTCCAGCGATCCGGTCATCTTGGTAAGTTCGCTGAGCTCGTGAATTGTTCCTGTCAACGGAGTCCTGCCTTCCTTCAGGTCGCTGAGAATGGACTTCTGTGGCTTGATCCAAGCATTACTGCAGAGCGAGCTACTTTCCGGCAACACATGGTAGCTGCAGAGCATACCAAGGCCGCGCGCACTTGTGCTCGCTAGTATGAGGAGAGGTCCCACGATGGCCGCTGTCGCCAATATTCCCACCGCAATGCTTATTGCGAAGCGTGTTGCAGGGATAGCTACCTCAATAATTTGTCGAATCCACGTTCCTATCCTTCTGTGCACCTCTTCCTCGTCAGCAAACCGAACTCGGCCGGGGTACGAATCCCGGTCGCCATGATCGAAGAAGCCGTGTGTGCGCGATCGTCGTCGTCGGCGTGTTCTCTCCATCTCCTTTTCGGTTGACATGGTCGGCCGCCGGAAGAGCAGTATCGTGCCTCAATTGGACATAGCGACTGAACAGTTTAGCAGTCACCGTCATGAGTATCGACGATGATTCGTAACGTGGTCTTACAATGCCCTTTGTTAGATCTACATCGCTGCCGCATCCGGCGATTTTGCGGTGTGTCGAGCTCGAGCGTAGCCTCATTGGAGCCCCTGACGCTGGCTGTAGAGCCACATATCGACAGATATAGCCTTCACGCATCTCAAGCCATTTCTCGGTGTTTAGAGAAGTCGGAAGGTCTTCAATGACGCTTTTGATGTCGGGATCCGGGCGCGTGGAGACTGGAATGCAGGTGTCCGTCGATGCTTTGTCGTCAACTCGCAACATCACCTCTCCTACACCAACCAAGGAATCCATTTGTCGCCGCCACTTCCACGTAGTTGCACATGCCGGAGTTATCTAGAGATGTCAAGCAGAAGAGATCAAGACCACGATGAGATTCAGGTGCTCGGGCCGGAGAGGTCTTGGCTGCGCTTCCGGTCCCAGATCGAGCTTGCGGACCATGCTTCATCTGCTCGAGAGTTTGATTGTAAGATATGAGCAGAGACTGACAACAGGTCTCCGTGTCGACCCACCAGGTCACTTTCAGATGCAGGTCCCGCGGAATTGCGCCCAAAATAACCCCTCAACCGCCTCTTAGCGCCAAGAGCTGACCGTCATATTAGACCACAATTTTCCCCCCACCAGCTCACGCCCACAGTCTGCAGATGACAGGGGGTTGTGTCCCGAATATTCAGGGCGCTTGGTCTAGGGGTATGATTGTAAGGAGTCCCGCAGCGCCGTGTTCTGCGGTCCAGTGCCTAATATTATTATCGTCTCTAGTTCGCTTCGCATGTTGGAATCTTCTTCCATACAGCCTTGTGAAAGGTCGTGGGTTCAATTCCCACAGCGTCCACGCTGTCTTTTTGCTGTTCTCTTGCGACTCTACACTATCGATACACCATGGTTTTGGACTGTGGGGCTTGTTGGACCTTGCGGGACGAAAACTTTTGCCAATGACTGGTTAGTAAGCATCAATGCAAGACGGGCTGCTCTCGATGCATAAGGTATTGCGTTGGCGAGATGCAACGCCTTGGTGTCGGTGGCTGAAGACCTGCCTGTTCATTGGACCGGACTGCAGCCCGTCCTCAGCTGAGACGCCAGGACGACCGCAAGATCACGACACCGACACTTCTTGGAACTGAAGCACAAGAACATAGCGTACGCCACGACCTGAACGCTCTTCATGCCCTGATGCCTCTCCACCAGGCCTCTTGCCGGACTCTCATTTGCTGCGGCTTGCTGACAACCTCCTCCGTAAAACGAACCCACCATGAACATGCATATATCGACTGAGCCTCGCGTCTTATGGCTTGCGTCTTGAGAATGCACATGTGTGACTGGCTTGTGTAAGCCTTTCACACACCACATATAAAATCCAGCATGCCGCCTGGAAGCGATCCATTGCTCACATCAATCTGACCATCAGACTGCATCATGAGCAATCCAAACGTGCTGACTGACCTGCCAGACGCTGGACGAAGAGGTCCACGTCTGGAGATTGACGAGTTCCTTCGGGATAATGAGATGACCAATCTGTTCTTGCTTGCGTTTTCCAACACACGCTCGCAGCTTACAAATTTGCAGCTTCAGATTTCAGATCTTGGGAGCAATTTGCCAAACGCGCATGGAAGAACCAAATTCAGATTGACGATGGGCGGTAGCCATGGTGGCTGAAGCTGTGCAGAAAGTAACTATGACGGAGCCGGAACTCCACGAAACGGCCATTGAGACCAAAGGCGTTCTCGAATTGGCAGACACAGTCAACTCTTCGCTTCCGGCAGGAGCTTTGATCGACGTCGACGACCCAAACAAATTGACTGTACAGATCACCTGGAACGCAAAAGTCAAAGTCAAAAAGTAAGGCCAAACCACTCCAATAGCCTTCTTCCCGCACACTGACCACATCTTGACTCAGATACGCCTTCGACGGCTCCTTCAGCGTCCACCTCTTCACCGGCTACGTCAAAGACGACCAACCCGAACGCTACATGACCAAGAAAAACGAAGTCGGCTTCGCAGGCATCTTCGCACGGAGCGCCGCAGATATCGAAAACTGTTCCAACTGCCAGTCCCAACGCGACAACGACATCGTCATCGAAGACGTCGTCCCCATCACCACGATCCTCTACGACTACCTAGAATCTGAACCACACAGTCGTGACCTCATCCGTGACGGCGAGCATCAGACAATTCGAGATCTGACAGCAGAAAGCGTCGTACCGTTCTTGACCGAGCAGCTTCATTGGCGTATCATCGATCTTGGTGCGACATTGTTGTCGGGACAAGAACGGCAGGCTGGACTCGAGATTACGGTTTCCAGTCGACAGTATACGCCACCGACTGCGGAGAATGTGATGGGCGTTTATGGACCGGAGATCGTGTATCCTGAGATTACGAATTAATTCTAAGCCTGGGGGGGGGGGGGGGGGGGTATTTTTTTTGGGAAAATCCAATTACAAAAAAATTGGCGGGTTTCCCCAAGATTCTTCCTGAAATGGAACCGCCCTGTTTCCACCCCCAAAGGCGGGGAATTTTTACAAAAACCCTGGGCCCTCCGCGTTTTTCCGCCCTTTTAACTCCCTGAATGGTTTAAAGGGTGGATCTTGGTTCCACCCCCTAATTGGGCTTCCCAAATATGGGCCCGCGGGCCCCGGGCCCCCCTTTACATAAATCTTATACCCCGGCCAGGAAAAACCTTTGGAGCTCCCTCTAACTCTTGGACCCCGAAGCCCCCCCATTTTTGGGGGGGGAAAATTCCCGGAAAACTTTCCACTCTCCCTTCCAAATTGGGGGAAAAGCCTTCCTTTTACAGAATTTTTTACTTTCGGGGGCCTTTACCCCTCCTCTTGAAAGGGGATGAAGTGAAACCCTGGGGGAT